GCTGGTGGACGTTACATTTTCCCAATAGCTGGAAACCCGGGAGCGTAGGAGCACAGACCAGGCAGCAGGTCTCGCTGGTGCCCCGCGATCCTTCAGCTGGAACCCCCAAAAGCCACTGCTAGAGCGCGCAATTTGAACAGCTTTCCAAACGCGCCAGTTTTAACGCCAAGTCCAGGCGAGATTGGCCGGCAGAGAAACGTCTTCACTCCACCAAAGCCGCTAGCCGCTTCACTCAGCTAGCATGGGATAAGCTTAAAACCCACGGCTGTCAAGAAAGTCCTACTACGTGTGCAGCTTCAAACAAGTTTTGTCCTTGTTTGAAGACAGACAAAACCAAATCCGATATTATCAAACAGGATCAGTAAAAAATGTCATTTTCACTTCCTACAGTTAGCTGCTCAGAGACAACTCCTGCCTTACTCGTCTTTTTAACCCAGCTCTCTGAAAACTGTGGACACTCAATAAATGTTTGGAGAAATGAGTTAAAGAAGTAGATTAATCTTTGGTTTTTCCTATGTGCTGTGAGTAGATCTCAACTCTCCTAAGGCAATATTGGGACATCAGCCCCTCCTCTAATCCCTTTTTTCAAAGATCCATTTTGTTTTTAGAAGGCAATGTATTTATTTTCTCCAAATTTTTAACACTTTAAGCAAATGAAAGAAAAAGTACTTAGATTTTAGAGAATGTTTAAGCGATTAATTTTTTTTTCATCTGGAGTAAAGCCTGAGTTGGATATACCTGAGTTTAGATATACCTCCTTGGATAAATTCCTTAATCCATCTAAACCTCAATTCCTTTGTCTGTAAAACTGATTCTTAATTCATAGCTCTGTTTTTAAGATTAAATAGGATACTACAGGTAAAGGATGACTTAGCATAGTGTCCAGCTGATACAGTATGTAAAATCTAAGTAAGACTACTTGATAAAAATAGGGTGTTTACAGGCTCCCCATTATTATTGCCATCATTATTCTCCTTTTTTTTTTTTAAGAGAGATTTTTGCTGTAGGGTCCATGCGCTCAGCAGAAGGACAAAGCTAGAAATCACACACAGTGCACACACACGCCCACCCCCCAGGGGGAATTACCACCCACAATCCTTTTTCCTCCATTCTCCTCTCAGGATTTTTGGCACGCACACGTGCCTGGCATGAGTTTCAAGCCACCAGGTCCAGGACTTGAACCATGGTCAGCCATGGGAGTCTGGCAACGTAACTATTGTGTCATCTGCTTGCCCATCCTTCTTATTTTTGTGCAGAGTGAGTAAACTGAGGCAAGAAAAGGTTAAGAAACTTCCCAGATATCATGAAAATGAGTAGCATTTGGTTCCAGAACCCATGTTTTTGCCAACTCTAAGTAATGCCTAATTACTACATCAAATAGTCATACTCTCTTAAGTCAAAATCTAAGGAGTTTTTTAAAGGATATAGTTTACCTTTTAAACCCTAGCCCAGGGTTTAAAAAGTTTCTACATTTTATTTTTCTCAGGCATCCCAATGGCCAGTACAATAGTGAATTCTGAATTCAGCAACCATAGGTTTTCCGGAATATTTACATCAGAAAGTTCTCTTTCCATATGCTTTGCATCTAGCTCTGCTTGTGTGACATTAGTACATAACTATTTATTTATGGCAGCATGGCCTGGAGTTGCCACCTGGCTAGTGTGTTGCTGACCCTGCCATGACTTTTACATGAAAGCTAGCTGACGATAAGCAGACACAACTTGATCCCCCACTCCTCTCCCCTTCCCAACTTCACCCTTTCCAGTTCGCAGCCATCAGATTTTTATAGAAAACATCAGTTCAAGAACATTTGTACTACTTACTTTTATAGCACCTCTTCTCTCTGCCTCTTGTCCTGTGTTCCCCCTTACAACCCTTAAGAAAAATGACAGGTTTGGTTTTTTAATTTTTAACATGCCGGCAGTTGACAATTTTGACGCAAATGTAGTAGATTGTTTAGAGTTAGTGCTGGGAGAAAAATACAATTATGTAGCAGAGGCAGTAGTGTTACTTGTTAAGGACAAAACAAAAGCAAAGCAGAAATGTTTTGCTGTTGTTCCTTTTGTAATGTGAAATGGTTGGAGGAAGCTGATTGTTCCTCTGAAGTATCCTTTCTCCCTCCCTTACCCTCTCCCTACCTGCTCCCATCTTTCTGCACACCCTATGTCCCTCATCTGCTAGTCCTTCTTTTTTTTTTTCTAAGATTTTTTTAAAGAATCATTTCTTTATTATCTTTATTTCTTTATTGTCTTTACGTGACCAGAGAGAGACAGAGGAAGAGAGAGAGAGAGTAAGCTGCCAGGTCCAGGACTTGAACCTCGGTCAGCCATGTGGGAGTCCAGCGTCCTTAGCCACCAAGCCACCTGCCAGCCCCTAGTCCTTTTAGAAGTTTCCCCACTGTTTCCCAGTCAGCCAGCCAGTTTCACCCTTTTCCTCCATTATCCCCATAAGTGACATAGAGTTAGGAAATGAAAACACAAAACCAAAAACCCAAAGAATCAACTCCATGTTTAAAATTAGCCTTGAACAACTGACAGCCTCTCTGATCCTGATTATTTTCAATGCATGTAATCTTAAGAAATGGAACATTAGAGTCTCATCAAATAGGATGAGACTGAAAATAAGGGGAAGGTATATAAAATTATAGCAAAAAAAAAAAAAAAAAGAAGTGTCAATGTGGGGACTAGTACTGCTCCCTGGAAGAACTTACAGCCCTGACTTACCAAATTTGTTTCTGCCAACTCCTGAACAACAGGGATGTTGAATAATTTTAATGCAGTATGGGGTTTGGCAGGAAAGCAGCAGCAGGTCATTGCAGGAAGGGTGCTAACACAAAGGACTAAAAATAAGAATGAGCCAAGTCACGCGCATGGGAAAGTTGTTCTGGCTGGAGCATAGAATTCTAGGCTGAGTGAAAGGAGTTGAGGATACTTGACCTTGGAAAGAGTCAGTCACTTTTTCAAGCAGTATGTTTAAGACTGCCAAATCCACCACATGTTTTAAAAACAAATACTGACGCATTATTTTTGTTATATCGTCAAGTCTGATTCTATTTATGGAGTTTGTTAAAGTTATCACATTCATTATTTGAAATGATTATTGAAGTTAACTGAGTAAAAAAGAAGGGAACCATTATCGTTTGAACACCCATTTGGACAAATAAAGTATACTTTATTTCACTTCTTGATTTTTTTCAAATTCGTGATAGCTGGGGCCAGCAGTTAGTGCAATGGGTATGTCACTGGATTCCCATGTGACTCACAGTTCCAGTCCTGGACCCGGTGGCTTAAACTCACACCGGGCACATGTGCATGTGTGCCCAAGATCCCGAGAGGAGAATGGAGGAGAAAGGATTGCAGCGTGGCCATCTCCCCTAGGGGGTGATTTCTCGCCTTCTGTCTCTGTGTTTGTCTCTCTGGCAAGCGCACGCTCCCTATAGCAAAAACCTCTCCAAAAAAAAAACGTCATGATAGCATGTACGTGTGTGTGTGCATGTGTGTGTGTGAGTGAGAGAGAGAGAGAGAGAGAAAGAGAGAGAAAAGCCCCTTTCAAGGACCATCATGCCATGGTTCCCATTTCCCTGTCTTCTAGACCAGGGTCTAGGGCACACACATGTGTATGTTTTCATGCATGCCTGGCCAGCCACTCAGCTGGGGGACTTGAACCACAGTTATCAGATGACTTTCAGTTCCAAAGTCTGTTTTGCTACCAACTGTGCCACGCAGGCTTTTCTCACTTAGTCTTCGCAATATCTTCTGTTGTAAACTATTGTTATTATTACCACTCTTCTACTGCATTAAGTTCTTTTCAAGTGATGTTTTTTTGTTTGTTTGTTGTTGTTTTTTGCTCTGTGGGGCAAGTGCACTCACTGGAGGCAGACAGAGAGAGAAGGTGAGAAAGCAGCCCTTAGGAGGGATGGCCACACTGCAATCCCTTCTCTCAGAATTTTAGTCTCACCCACCTGGCATGTTGTTCAAGAGCTGGACTCAAACCACACAGTTGGCCATGTGAGACCTGGCTTCCTGAATTACCCCTGACTGACCAGTAATGTGTTTTTAATACACGTTAAATTCAACAGTGCAAATCCTTACAGGCTATTTCATTATGCACCTTATGAAGTTAATACCATGTTTTTTATAGCATAAAATCTAATTTTACTACTTCTCAATTTATAGATTAGGAAACTGAGGTTCAAAGAGATTAAGAATATACCTGATGGATCCAGCTACTGAGTTGCAAAATCATTATTTGAACCCAAGTTAGTATCATGTTTTCTATTGCATGATAGTACAGGCCCCTCTCCCCCCAGAAAAAAAAAAAAAAAAAAAAAGCAAATCCTTACAGGCTATTTCATTATGCACCTTATGAAGTTAATACCATGTTTTTTATAGCATAAAATCTAATTT